AGCGAAAATAGCCTATTTTCGAGTGTCTTGTTCAACATCACAGTACGATGATTAGCCACTGATTATAGTACCGTTAAATACATATATCTAGTGCCTATATAGTCATATAAAAACCATATGCTCAAAGTGCTCATATTGGCAGATAAGACTAGACACTCGGTTACCCTATAATCCTCATAGTGAAAATTTTCACATGTTGTGGTCAAGATTTCTCACAAACGCAGAATTCAGGAGCATATTGGATAATAGTATGGTGAAGTACTAGCCTTAGCCTATTAGCAAATATATCTAGTTCATCCCGCTTCTTAAAGATTCTTGAAATAGGGTGGGGTAAAAAGTCCATTTTTCGCATACGGCCTCCCTTGAGATCCCTGATATGCATGCCAAAATGATCACCGAATTTGATGAAATTTTCAGCATTTGTAGACCTTTCAATTCGAAGTATTCTGGTAAAAACATCTTTTTAAAAAGCTTTTATTTTCAGGACGATAGACTCAAAATACTTTAAGCAGAAAAATCAAAACAGCCAGTTTTTAGCAAAATTTTGACGAACGGCTTTTGAGAGATTGCTGCATTAAAACAAGGTCGAAAATAAAACCCAAGACCATATTGGGATTCCTCGTGAAAAGGTGGATCGGATGATACTAACATTGAGTTTAAATTTAAAAATATTCTGAAAAGCTGAATTGCTCCATATGGTGACATAGTGTATTTGATAAGGCCTTCCTTCCTCTACAAACCCGGTACGATTCATGGAAACTGAAGATATTCATTCGTAAGTCTCATGATGCATAGGCAGACACGAAAACGCTAAAAACGGCATTTAAACATGGCAATATGTAAACGACAAAAACAGTGTCATTAGTCGCCAAAAACGCGCTAAAACAGTTTATAAAAGATTGACTTTTAACACGTTTTACTCGTTTAAACGCTTGAATTCGTTCAATATTTAACTGTTTTAATACGTTTTTGGCGACTAATGATAATGCTTAAAAAGTTTAAATAATTTTCGTTACGACGCATTTTCGCGATCAAGAAATATTTCATCTAAACGATACATTGTCAACAATTTATAAATAATTAAATTTTCTTCTGGTTGATAAACTGACCGATTATATTCAAATTATAATTAAATAAATGTTAAATTGACATTTATTTATTCTTTGAAAACAGTAACGAGAATTTCTCTCTTATCAGTTCGTTTTCTTTTTTATATCAAGACTAAGTTTTCGTTTTACTATTCATTTGCATATTTTCCTTTTTTCTTTTTGATTTTTTTCAATGCAGAACGGAAGATAAAAATATGTAGGTTTAATCGAACAGCATTAACGTCTTGCCATTCCGTTCCACTTAAAAACAAAGGAAAATATGCAAATAAATAGTAAAATGTAAACTTAGCCTTAATATAAAAGGAAACGAACCGATAAGAGAGAAATTCTCCTTACTGTTTTCAAAGAGTAAATAAATCTCAATTCAATATTTTTTTAATTATAACTTAAATACACTCGACCTGTTTATCGACGAGAAGAAAATTTAATTATTTACACTCATACTTCATATTTATACTTTGAATAAGTGACGGATGCGATAGATTGGTGAATCGATTCTAAATACTACGTCTAGCACAGGAGTTTATAATAAAAAAAGGCAAACCATGATTTATCTAATCAGTTTCTAATATTTAGAAAACTACAACCGGAACTACTATGATAGATAAATGTTCTTTTCGATTTTCATTAATAAATTTAATTTAATTTGGATCAAATTCCGAAGTATTGAAGTTTACAGATGTGATATAACTAGAAGCGATATCGATGGACTGTAGAGTCCCATAATTGTAGTGTGTTCTAGGTCGAATGCGAAATTGATTAAGGTACATCTATGCACGAGAATACTATGTGCTCTTCGGTAGTGACGATATTTCTTTTAAAACTGATTCATCTTTTGATGATTTCAGATTTCTTTTCCATTGAGTACACCACTAAACTGTTTCGAACGTCTCATTTGACACACGTACTNAAATTTCCGTATTACGTTAAAATAAAAAACGATTTTGCATTAAAATAATTTTACATTTATTGATTTGCTTAGGCTCTTTAAAAATCAAAATTAATAAAGAATAACGATCATTTCAGCTGATATTGTGAAAATAGTTCCAATATGGATTTTTTCGTTTAACTTGACTCAGTAAATGCAAATTACAAGGCTCACTGACGCATCATGAATAACTTCTGAAGCAGAACGCGAGATTATTACCTGTCATCATTGGGGTGACGTTCTTCCATTTAGCTTTCATCTATTGTGAGAAATTGTGTTGTCTTGATTTTTTAAGCCGTGCTTTTTCTGTGCTTCCGCGTATTCATTTTCAAACAAACTACCGTTTCGGAATTTGTTCAATGGCATTTTCAGGAGAATTGTCAACAGTTGTTGTTCGATTACACTAAGATTCTTTGAAAATAAGAGCTTATTAGTATATTCACGATTTCTTTTTGTAGAAAAAGAAACTCCTTACTAATACCGTATAGTAAGCAGATAGATGATCGCCTATTGTTTTTATGTATTTTCCATTTTTCGATATTTTCACCATTTTTTCCCGATTTTAAGATCATGTTTAGAAATAGAACGTTTGATAATTATTGTGCTTGCTCCAAGTCGACCTAGAAAGAGCGACTTGGTTTCAAAGCTCTCTCATGGTGTAATTCAAGTATAGCAACTAATTTTCTTCATTAAAACAGCATGTTGACTATTCTCAAATGAATTTTTAGGGATCAAATCAATCAAAAACTAATCAGAAATAACTGACAATAGGATATCTTACAGATTCACTCACTTTTGGACCGTTCATTGCATTTTAAAGCAAAACAATATGATATTCATGCTTAGCAGTGTCAATAACCTGTAAATCGTCAAATTTTAGAGAAAAAACAACTTGCCCTAAGCGAAAATAATATAATTTTCATCAAAAACATCGAAAAAAGAAACCTGGTCCATTAATATGTCAAAAATCAAATCATGTACATCTTTTTATCCCACTTCTTATTCAAAATTCTCTTTTCATGCACACTATCAGCTGGATAGAAAATGACTCGTCAAATTTCATTGGTAAAATAAGAATGTGTGGTTGAATAGATGGCAAAATCACTAGATCTCAGAAAGCTCAAATACTTGCAAGCCGTTGATAGATTTCATTTTTAAATTAATATTTTCTTAGTGACATTTTTTGCGCAAGAATCTTCAAGTATTTCTGTAGATGTGGCTGCCCCAACGCATAAGAACACCCACCCACACCCTCCAATATTCAGTTCATAGAATAATAAAACTTTTTAAAGATATATTTTCAGTTCTTATCAATTTTATTCAAAAACCTTGATTCCATTTTATAATATTATTAATGAAATCTTCATTATCATCCAAAGAATGATCACAATTATCAGTTTTCTGTATTTTCTTCCTTGGTGTATTTTCACCATATACTCCAATAAAAATATTCGATAACTCAGTCAAATTTAAATAGAAACCCAAATATTTGACTAAGACGCTACTTCGTATCTATAGAAAAAAAATCATGGAAATTGAAGGGCAACACCACTGTAGATCATTTCGTAACCTGATCAAAAGAATAAATACTTTGCAAATTATTTCTATCGATGTTTGTCTCATTTTATTTTCTTGTAAAACAAAATATAGAACTCAGTAATTGGAAATATGTATGAAATTGATAATTGGAATGGATCCAGTTTTTGAGACTGACTCGGGAATATTTTTGAGAATTACTTTAATGTAATATCGTAGTATAAAGTGTAAGTGTACATTAGCTTGTTGGCTAAAAACCAATAAAGAATATATTCGACACTGAACTTGATTCAAAGAAGTATCGACGTATCTATAAAAATCACAAAGAGAGCTTTTGAAAAGCATTGTTGTCATCAATGACTAGTGATCAGTGTGACTACCGTGGGTGATGGGAGTCACAATTGGCATATATTTAATTACTTATAATGACAGTGAATCAAATTTTCTATATCAAAAAGACTNCAAGTAGGATTTAACGGACTTGATAGAATCGATTAATTGTCTCAATAGAATTGTTATTTACATGATCAAGCTCAACTTATATTTGTTTTCGGTGACCGAATTCTTTCGGCGAAAATAGAATCGGTGAACTTTTTTTCGGCGAATTTCCTTCGGTGAAATTTTCTTTTCGGCGAAATTCGTCTTCGGCGAAAAATTTTTTCGGCGAAAATGGACTAAATCATGCGCTGAGTTGCTCCTATGACGAGATGTTCGTTAGTTCGCAAGAAAAAAAATATGCACTTCAGAACGAAAGAAATATGTATATAATATGTGCATTGGAGAAGGAAAGAAAAGAAAACTACAGAACGAAAGAAAATCTATATATTTCTGAAAAGTTGGGTGATGCAGAAGTAATGTTTGTCAGTTCGTGAGCTTATTTGCATAAAAAGTAGATTGTGGACAGGAAAACACTGGACATTTTTAGAACTGTTAGGTGCACACCCCTTAGACGGCACATCCCTGGTTTTATTCAAATCGAATAAATATTTTCAAAAACGTTTATTATTGAAATGAAGTAAAAACGTTCGACTTTTTTGTGTATGTCAGAAACAACACTAGGGTGTGGGTGTGGGTGTGATGCTTGTATTCTCTGCATTCATACCCACACCCCATATATTAAATAGTCTTCAACAGATCTTTAAAACTAGAGACCTCTATGCCAATCAATATTATTCACATGTCCCAACATAGCCTTTCATCAGAATAATTAACTTCACTGTGTTGTCAACATTTTGTTGGATCATTTTCAATTTCACTGAGCGTGTAATTTGCGATATAAATATTTCGACTAACTCAGTTTTTGCATGCAACAAACAATGTTTATTATAATTGCAATAATAATTCCTTTGCTAATTGCTTTTCTATTCACTTTCCCACGCTATACCGAACAAGATGATTCCACTATGAAACAAAATTTATTATCTGTTATGACATTTAATATCCGTTTTGATGTGCAAGAACATGATCCAAACAATCATTTTATAAAACGAGTTTATCGTTTAACAGAGACTATTGAAAAATGGCAACCATCTATTCTAAGTGTCCAAGAACCATTTACTAACTATATACAACACTGGCAATCTCACCTACCAAAATATTATGATTTTATTGGTTATCAATCCGATCGCGAGCATCAATCATCTGATAGAGATTATCAAGTGGCTATTTTATATAGCAATCAAATATTAAAATTACTAGAACAAGATTATATATGGTTATCAAAAACACCGCGTGTTGTTGATAGTAAAGATTGGGATAGTTTAAGAGTACGAACATTGAATATAGCAAGATTAGAATTAATAAATGATGATCAACATGCAAATATTGTTGTTTTTAATACTCATTTGGATGTCACAAGTGAAGAAGCACGACGTGAACAAGCAAATATTGTTCGAACTACAATTGAACAATGGCATAATAAATATCCCAAGACTGTTGTTCTTTTATTTGGAGATTTTAATTCGATTCCGAAACAAACTTCATATAAAACATTAACATCTGAGTTTTTACATGATACTTGAACAGTTTGTAAATTCATATGTATGGTGAATTCGTTTTCAGTAACATTTCATGGTTGGTTCGTAGCAATTATTAATACATATGGATTTCAATTTTTACAAACGACTTTATTTATTTTTCATGGTTCAGTTGTTAAACTACCGCATCAAATACCGAGAAGGATTTCATCTTATGTTGATATTGTAAGAAAATTATGGAAACCTCGTCGAATGATCAATTTTTCAGATATGATTTCATTATGGTCTCAACATCGATTTCATGTTGATTGGATTTTATATACGAAATTCACTTCATGGAAATGAATATTTAGAACCACGATTCATGGCTATAGTCGATGTTCGATATCGAAACTATTCTTCGCATCATTTGCCAGCTGTTGCTTTATTCCAATTGAAAAACGATAGAGAAAATTCATTCTTAGTGAATGAGTCTTAATTTTGATTAATTAAACATAAACTTCTATTTTTAATGACGATATGAAAANAAATTGAATATAGCAAGATTCAAATTAATAAATGATGATCAACATGCAAATATTCTTGTTTTTAATACTCATTTGGATGTCACCAGTGAAGAAGCACGACGTGAACAAGCAAATATTGTTCGAACTACAATTGAACAATGGCATAATAAATATCCCAAGACTGTTGCTCTTTTATTTGGAGATTTTAATTCGATTCCGAAACAAACTTCATAGAAAACATTAACATCTGAGTTTTTACATGATACTTGAACAGTTTGTAAATCCATATGTATGGTGAATTCGTTTTCAGTAACATTTCATGGTTGATTCGGAGCAATTATTAATACACATGGATTTCAATTATTACAAACGACTTTATTTACTTTTCATGGTTCAGGTGTTAAACTACCACATCAAATACCGAGAAGAATTTCATCTTATGTTGATATTGTAAGAAAATTATGGAAATCTCGTCGAATGATCAATTTGTCAGATATGATTTCATTATGGTCTCAACATCGATTTCATGTTGATTGGGTTTTATATAGAAAATTCACTTCATGGAAATGAATATTTAGAACCACGATTCATCGCTGTAGTCGATGCCCGATCTCGAAATTATTCTTCGGATCATTTGCCGGTTGTTGCTTTATTCCAATTGAAAAACGATAGAGAAAATTCATTCTTAGTGAATGAGTCTTAATTTTGATTAATTAAACATAAACTTCTATTTTTAATGACGATATGAAAAACATTATCCAGTGATATGAATGCACTGAGTAATAAAATCAGTTAAATAACTGGAACTAAAATCTAAATAAGTTCGAAAACAAAGTCGCAGGATTCTTTATTATTAAGCTATTGATAGAGATTAACTTTTTATGGCCGAAGCTTCCCAAAAGACATACTTTCCAGCTAAACATCCAGAAGAGTGTATTAAAAAAAAGAAAAATTTCGAGAGCCACTGATTCGTTCGGGAAATTTTTCAAAATTGTTGAACGAAATCTTCAAAGATTAAAGATTATCTACCACCAATTAGGACATCCTTCAACATGTAAGTAACTAAATGATTCTTTACTGTTAATTTAATTTTACATAGATATATAAGGTTCTTATATCTATTGACTTCTCTTACTCGAAATGAATAAATAACATTATGTAGATCGTTAATCCACATTTTAATAATAAGAGTGCGGGTGTGGACTCGTCACAGAACATCCAAATTCACCCATTGTAGTTTAAAAAATAGTTAAGAAATATCTGATTACATGTGAAATCTCGAACAACTAAACAATGCTGACACTTTGAAAAAGAAACAAATGATTATCTTTGAAAGTTTAATAAAAGCTCAAAACTTCATCGATGAAAATTTAAATAAATCAGGATTCGTTCGAGAATCGAAAATTTTTTATTGAAGAAAAAAATATTTTTCAAGAAAAATTCCCACAGATGGAGAAATTTCCAAAATTTTTCCCGTACGCTCACGCGGGCTGATTCTGCACTCCTGCATCAGAGTCTATCATTGCTTGATTAGAATCCATATAGAAGATGTCAGTCATTGGAAAAACAGATCCTAGAGTCTCAAAATTGGTTCTTGCCTCTTGCAGGAGACTATACACTGCACAGAAAACCGTTTTCCCATAGCAAGCACTAAGTAAATATTCTAGACTTTTAGTACGAATATCGTCTACAAGTGGCCTAGCTTCGCATAAAATCGATCACTAGTTCTATTATTCTTGCTTCTTATTATATTAGTAGTAGAATTTTAACTGACTTTATGTTGTTAACTCTCTTTATTCCGAAAGTGGCATTCCTAGATGAAAGAATCAGATTCTAAGATCATACGAAAATCTTAAAGGCAAATCATCGTATTGATTCGTAATGTAAGATCTTATAATGCCATAAGATTTTTGGTGAAATCTTACAATAAGAATTCGTACGATGAATTGGCTTTAAGATTTTTAGTATGATTTCATCTGATCTTACAAGATCAGAAAGTACGATCGTAGAAGATCTCACTTTTTTATGCTTTCACCCGAGTTCTTTGGTTAATAATGTGCCGCTGAAAGCAGTAAAAGTATGCATTAACACTTCGAATATGTACTAATAAAATGTTCTCACTAGAAAAATTTTCCTACAAAAAATTATCTTCGTGTTTATAAAGCTGTAGTAATTCAGACATTGATTCACACAGTCTTCGGCATAATTCTTTTGATTAATTTCGAATTGTTTGTACGTCTTTGAACAAATTACTGTAAAATACACAAATAAAAAATTATAACGAATGAACTCGCATGAGATTAGGTACATTGCTGGATCATCGAACTGCAAAGAAAAAGTATTTTTAATGGCAAAACTGATGCTTCTGTACACTTTGTTAACATACATCTGTGTAACAATTAATTGCACCGACCATAAAAAGCTTTGATGTATCGTGAAAATGTTGATAAAAACAAAAAGTATATTGAAATGTGAATGAACTTCACTCGCTGAAGAGAGAAGTCGGTGTCATACGAACAAACAAAGGTAAATGTTTCAGGTTTGAATAGAAAAATGTTATGTTTTGAGTTAATCTCTGGTTTGTGACATGTCATATGGTCGTTGAGCATTCCTTATACATTTGATTATCATTACAATGACTGATGCAATAATGTCTGTAGAATGAAACAGTAGTATTTCTGTTTCGAACATAGGAAAACGAAGCCGAAACTCATATTCGAGAATGAATTCTTTACTAAGGGTGTGAGTGTGGACCTTTTTAATGAGATTGACATTATGATGCAAATAAATTATAAAGTCATTCAAATTAGCACAGTTTCAATGTGGATCTTAGAATTTATTTATTTGCCACTTCAAGTGCATTACCTAATAAAAAAATTAAATTCAAAAGAATGATTTCGTACGATTGATCTATCTTGAGGGTATACGGTAAAAATGAGAATTTTCACTTAACTCATACCAGATAATAGAATAAGTTCCATTGATAATTGTTCATGAACGCGACATAATATACATTGATGTATATCAAGTACTAATTTTCATTCGTTGTTTTTTTTTAATTGTAAACAAAGTGAATAAGCCATGTCTGGCACTAGTCTACACAATCTTTTTCTATTGATACAAATAAAGGAATAAAATACTTCAGCATCAATAAGATTATTCATGAGGGTGTAAGTGTACGCTGTTAGAGAAGGAGAATGTACTCAAACATGATTTACACTGTATACGGGATACACTTTGCAAACTTTGATTGTAGGTCATAACTGAATTATTTCGCAGAAATACATTTTTGAACATTGAATTGTCAATAAGCATAAGATGATTTATATCTAGAAAAGGGATTGTACCAAATCAGCATATGGATTCACTCTAAGCTAATATTAGCATGTTGTTGGACTGAAAAGACAAGTTTTTTAATGATTATAAAACAAAATTTGTAGATGAAAGCATTTCATGTCGAGTGCGTCGTTCAGAATTCAAATAATATTTATTGTAAACTTATAATTTTTAATGTTGATTAAACATAACATCAGAAAAAAAATCTATCACCAAAAGCCAATAAGAGAAATTCAAAACTAAATTTTGATCATTTGTGTCTCATACTTTGGTTATCTGGATTTATTGAATGACCCAAGTGAATGAAATTCAATTCAAATTTCATGTACCTTGTAATATCATTGCTTGCAATAGTAGAGCATATTGTTTTTTTTTCCATCGATTTGTTTCCAATATATGGAAAATGAATGTTTGCATGAGACCAGCAGATTATTTTTACATTTGACAAGGAAAGAACTTGAATAATACTAATTGCAATTGATAAAAGGCGAATACAAATTACGAAATTAATCTTTTTCGGTGGCATTAATTACATGAGAAATAAATGAGCAGTAGATCTTGTATAGAGACATCTGTTTTAATATGTGTTGATATGCATAAACAAAATTGTTTCTCGATAAAAAAAAGGGTCAAGAGTAAGAACTCTATCTTTTTCAGTTGTGATTGATTAGAATTTGTACAAAATTCAACGGACTATTGGAGCCTTTTTAAGAAAGAATATGGTTAAAATTATAACATAGTAAAGACAAAGAATAATGAATGCCGCATATCGACATATCATTTGACAGATGTTAGGTTGATTATAGCATGATAATGGAAACCCGAGCAAACCAATACCAAAAAGAAAACCCACTAAACCACCACCGAAATGAGCCGAGTGTGCCACATTGATCTTTAAAGGAATTGGCACAACTATTATGATAACAACGGGAAGTAAAACCAACAAAAGTAAGTATAAGAGGATTGAATTTCGACGATCGGTATTTGTTCGCATTGCAATAATTCGATCAACTGTTAAGAATAACATTAAACCGTACACAGAACCCGAAGCTCCAATACCGGCTAAACAAAAAACGATCATAGGGTTATGCAATCAGTTTCTAAGGTTTGCTTATAAAATATTGAAAAACATAAGTATATGATCGACAGAAATATCCCAAAAGTCATGATTACTTAAGCATTGTTTATAACTCCATTATCAATCAAGCAGCACCTCATAAATCTCTTTTCATTTAGAAGGACAGAGCAGTAAATTTTTTTTTCGTTAATCCAACATTCGTATATGCTCTTCAGGAGCTTAACTTTGAGTTTCAATATAAAATCTTTCGCGAACAGAAAAAACTATTGACGACAGATTGGTTTTGATCAAACGGTCTTTAAAAGAATCGTGATAGAAGGTAGTAAGGAATGGGAATCGACTGGCTCATGTTGGCCAACTCCATTCAAACGAAAATCCTTTCATTTAACCCTAAAATTGAGTTCAAAATTTCTTCGTAATTTCTT